TGGGAATATGCCATAATAACGATCGTCTTCCTAAACAATCACTGTCCCTGTTTTGGACCTTCGCGATCATGTTACGTTAAAATTGTGATTAATTATTGGCTAATCAGTTGTAGATCGTCACGTGAAAGTGACATTTTGATGGCGATACTGGGGCTGGTAATTTTTAAAGTTATGAGAAACAAAAAAGTAATTTTATATCGATATGGCCTAACGCTAAATAAGATTTTTATGATGATCACCCTAATATAGCATGCAGCCGATCAGGCGAATTTAAAGTTGATCTCTGTATTACGATAACGATAAACCGATCCGAATATGTGTGGAATTCTGTTTCGTTTACGACAAAGTTCGAGCTCGATTGATGGAAATCCTTCAAATTCATTCCACAAAGATTTATGGAATCAATTAATGACTAAAAATACGCAACGTGGTATTTTGAATCTCTAGAACTTAATTAATCCAGAGGTTTCTTTTACAATAAGTCCTAGATATAAATTTTCATTTCTTTACGTAGGTCCTGACAGCCAAGATCAATTTTCCGAATCATTAGATAATTTTGAATTGGACTTTTTTGGTGCAGTGTTGCATCTGCGTGGAAAATCTGTTATTAAACAACCTTTGATAGATAATGATCAAAATGTTTTATTATGGAATGGTGAAATATTTGATGGTTTAGAGGTATATAATTTCATTATCGAGATAACTTTTTTTTTTCTTTTCAAAATTAATGAATTAATAATATGTGTGCATATAACTTCAGGTACCTTTTGGAGAAAATGACACGATTTATTTATCAGCAACCGTGAAAAATAGTGAAAAGATTAGCGACGAGATTAATGATAATAATGGTGTCCTTAAGGTTCTTCGAATGATTGAGGGTCCATACTCAATTATATTCTGGCAGGTTCATAAATCCTTGATCAATAATTTTTGTTTATAATTTTTTTGAAATATTTTATCTAAAGTTGAATCTAATAGAGTTCAAAACGAAAACTATGGTTTGGACGTGATTGTTTAGGAAGACGATCGTTATTATGGCATATTCCCACCAGTGAAATTTTATAGAATTCTCTAATAATTACGCTTTTCACAGTGAAATTTTATAGAATGCTCTAATA